ATGACTCTCTTAATTTAGATCATTGTTCGTAACAATAACTTCTACTTCAGGTATGCCGCATAAAAATTATACAAAACTAACGTGAACGCCAGTAAATGGCTGTCGTAGAAAGAAATGTAATGCACACAACACACACATATCATACCTACTACCTCATACCTACATATTTTTAGACTATTTATTGGCAAATCTGGTATAGTAGTGATGATGATGGCGGCGATTTTAAAAACGGATGTCAAAATCTTAATGTTATTTTTAATATTTCAATAATACTTTCTAGAATATGCAACTGCCCCCTCCCTTGCCCTCCGTTGGCGACGCCCTTGTATGTTTCTATGAATTCACAACAAGCTTCATATATTCAGTAAAATAATCAGATTCAATTCAATGCCATAAAAACTCATGCATCGGTTTTTTCCAAATAATTGACCAGATATTTGCCAATGATAGTGTTCATGAACGCATGATTCAGTTTTTAAAAGCTTTCATTTAACTTGACTTGTATGTATGTTAACAAATCTTGTAAGTTTAATTTGACCCACTTCCCGGTACCCGATTGACCTGAAATTTTGCATGCTGGTCCAGAACCGATGAAAATGCATGTCAATCATAAACGTGATCTAATGCTGCTGCCAGGATCGGCTCCGTACAAGAGAGTATCCTCAGCGGTAAATAGCAGGGACACGAAATTTTGTATACGTATTCGTTTATGATAGGCAGTTGGTAGGCCCACCATGAAATAGATGCCACATCCAGGGTTGGCTTTAAAGTACTATACATTTCTTTTCATTATTTTTGTGTGGTTGTTTTATAATATTCCAGAGAATTTTGGTTATATTTGTAGAATCCTGAACTTTTTTCATGAAATGATTCATTTTTTCCTGACGTATTTCATTTTCAACACTCTTCTTGGCTATTCTATAAGCGGTGTTACTATTTTCAGAGTTTTCCTGTTTTCTCAGGTGATTCAAGTGCTTGAGATCATCAATTTTTCTTTTTAATGAAGTGGAAAGGGTGACTCTGTTATTTTCCTCATGAACATGTTCCCAAAAAACATTGAAAGCTTCATTGGAATTAGCAGAGGTGGTGGTAGTGAAGTTTTTCAGTAATTCAATGTCGCCAGTTAGAAGTTTTCTAAATTCAGCTATAGAGAGTTCGTTAATTTTCCTAAATTTATGAGTTTCTTTCGGATTCTTCGTGGGTAGGAGTATTTCTCATCTTATTTTCAGCAGTTTTTTAGCATCTTATTTTTAGCAGCGATATATAACTAGTTCAAAGTATCCTAAATGGTACAGTTCCTTTCTGATTCAACTTATAAAAAAAATAACTCCTTATTCAAAAAATTCAAAAAAACTAAATTGGATTGTGATTACAAAGAATACTCCAAGTTGCGCAAGGAAACCAAGTATCATATAGATAAATGTTACCTGCTATATCTATCTAATATAGAAAATATGATCCCTACTAACATCAAATATTTTTGGTCATTTTTCAATTCATTAAGGAAAGATAAAGGGTTACCTACTATTATGACATATAATGGGTTGAACTTTGACACCCCTAAAACTATTGCCGATGCTTTTGCGGTACATTTCAAATCTTGCTTTTCGATTCATTCACCTGCTCAAAATTATGTACCAGTCCATACCAATTATGATACTAACACGTTATCTTTCCACACCTTCAGTGAAGTGGTAATTGAAAAACCTAGATGTCTCAAAGGGCGCGGGTCCTCACGGAATTCCGCCTGTATTGTTAAGGAATTGCTGTCACAGTTTATCACATCCCCGTAAAATACTTTTTTAAAGATTATTTGATACAGGGATTTTTCCAGGTGTTTGGAAAAAATCTTCCCTTTCTCCAGTATTCAAAAGTGGAAACAGAAATGATATTCAGAATTATAGGGGTATCTCGAAAATTTCTCGTATTCCCAAAGTATTTGAATCTTTAATTACGGATGAAATATTCAATAATTTCAAACATGTCATAATAGAACAACATGGATTCTACAAGGGAAGGTCTACTGCCACCAATTTGGCTGTCTATCAAAACTTCATTACAAATAAGCTTGAGCAAGGGTTCCAAGTTAATGTTATCTACACGGACCTTGCTAAAGCCTTCGATTCAGTTTGTCATGAACTATTAATTTTAAAACTCAATAATCTTGGAATAACGGGCAGATACTTGAAATTTATTGAATCCTACCTTTCCGGTAAATCGCAGAATGTGAGGATAGCTGACAGTGTGTCAGAAACAATTCATGTAACTTCAGGAGTTCCACAAGGTTAGCACATTGGTCCTATATTATTTCTACTCTTTATTAATGATGTTGAATCAGTGTTTGAACACTGTAATATCTCTCTGTATGCGGACGACCTTAAATTTTTCAAAACAGTGCAATCTATCAATGATATTTTGAATGTATTCAGAATGACCTAGATAGCTTTTGTACCTACTGTGATACTAATTGTCTAAAAGTTAAAATTAAGAAATGTAATGTGTTGAGATTTTATAGAATGAGACAGCCTGTCATTGTAAACTACTCCATTAATGATGCAACTCTTCAAACTGTCGAAAGCTTATGCGATTTGGGAATTACTTTCGATAAAGATCTAAGCTTTATTGATCATATCAATAATATCTGTAATAAAGCATTCAGAATGCTCGGATTCATCAAAAGGAATACCCGGCATATTACAGAATATGATGCTATAAAGACATTATACTTTTCACTGGTTTGAAGTATTTTGGAATACAATAGTGTAATTTGGTGTCCTCTTTATTCTTGTCATAAAGAGAGGCTTGAAAAAGTGCAAAATCGCTTTTCTAAATGTATAATTTGAAAACTTGGCCTACCCTACTTTGGATTTACCTCGCAAATGAGGCTGTCTGTTATGACAGATTCCAAATCCCTATTATTAAGCAGGAAGAAATGAGAAGCCAGGTTTAGCACTATACTCCACTACTCTACTTCTTGATATATAAAGAAGAACAAATCAAGGATAATAAAAGAAGGAAACAGGCCTGAAAACAATGAATACATTCAGTATTAATGACATTCTATTGTAGTGAACGTTCAAATGAAAAAGGTAACATACCCTAGATGTTGTGTGGCCTCGAAAGTGATTACGTAGAACTTACGTCGAAGAAGGTTGGAATGTTCAGTACTCCAGAAAATATATCCACAAATGAGTGAAGGTGGTTAAGATTACCCAACTTATCAATAATCTGGTGCTTTTGAACGAGATTTCCAGAATAAATCCGCAAAATGCGTAAATTGAATATCACCATCAAAATGGAGGACTTCAATTTTTTTCCAGTTTTTTTTCCTTCACATCTGTGCAAGTTCTAGTTACCTTTTTCCCAAATCAATGGTACCAAATGTGGACGAAATTTCAATCATAGAGAAGAATTCCAATACAGACATAAATCAATCTGAATGGGTGACAAGTATAGGTTATGTTTTGAAATTTTATTTGTTTTGTAATAACTGCTACATTTCTAATGATCTAAGTGACTGAAGAGACCAAGTCTACTGCCAGAGATAGTGAGAGTAGGAAAGTTTGAGAAGAATTGAAATAAAAAAATAATATTTAATAATAATGATTATCTGTAAGGGCATGACCACATATAATATAGATTTGTTGACAATCCGATTCCTCTATTTATTTTCACCTTCTTCCCTTCCTTTTTAGTCTAAAATTCTTAATATCTAGAAAGGGAAAATAAAACCGTAACACTGTATTAGATTTATTAACACTTGAGGACAGACGTAAACTTGCAATGGTTCTATTCCTTCATAAAATAATAAACTTCCACTACAATTATTCAGCTATTTTAGATGACCTTTGCCTTTCTGTTAACTCAAGATCCTTGAGAAGCAAGCGCATTTTTTCATTTGGGTTGCGATTCCACAAGACTAACTATGGCTCGATGGCAATAAGTTGTAGGCTTCAAAAAAATTTCAATACATACTTTTCAGAACTTGATCTTGTTCATTTGTCATATTTAAAATTCAAGAAAATGGCAATTAGACGACTTCATCAAGAGATTGTTCATTAAACTTCCGAATAGTCGTTTATTATTTCTTTTAATAATCATAACTTATTCTAGTATTCGTACATGTCTTTTTTTTTTTAATTTAAACTCAATTTGAACACTATTTGACAAATGGAAATGAATACCTTTATTCAATATGAAGTAATAACTTGACTCTAGGGTTTGTTTGCACATTGATGTAACATTTGGGACTTTGTTACAATTCTGTAATGTACTTGACATAGTTACGTTTTTGTTTTATAATTTAATTATTCATTAGTGTTGAATATCTTTAAGCTTATTTTTGTCTTTTTAATATATTTTCTTTTTTTATGTTCCATTTGGTATCTCATTAATAGTTTATAGGACTAATAAAAAATGGATAGGTTTATTTATTTTTAAGCAATTACAATAGTTTATATTGAGGATTTTACTTGTTGGGTTCATAATTGAACTTTAATGCTTGACTGGTTTCAACAATTGAAACTTTCTTGATGTACCATTTGGGATTTTATAATAATTCTGTAGTGATAAATAAATAATTTGAGAATGATGATCCGATAAGGCAAGATCAATGTTACTTAGGGTTAAGCTGTCTCTGTTGATGTTAGTTAGTACATAATCTATGCTACTGATTGTTTCACGATCACCCCAATGTCCAATTCTAGTTGGTTCGTTGTGAAGAGATATAAAACCGTATGACTCAATTATATCATACAGAACTATTGTATCCATATTTCTTGTTATACTGTCAATTTTGAAGTCCCCGCATATAAACTGACTATCAATCGACATTGTAATCGTACGAGACAAAATTAACTCCACAACGAGATATGTCACCATGGGATGCCATATTGAAAAATCCAACACTTATAACGACCATTCAACGACTTCTTCAAAAACGGCTCGCACATGCAACTCTATCACTGTTCATTCATAACTTTGTTTCGAAAATTACGCACCTGAGGTTGATTTTTTCAGCATTCCATCTTGACAGCTATAAATAAAGCCGAGGGAACTTACAATAAACACTAGCGAATCGTTCGTTGCTTACTGGCCAGTTGTTATTTCGTACGGATCCTGATGTATGAGGAGCTATTCTCGGATGTTGCGAGTCAGAGGAGATCGCCGATATTGGGACTGATTGGAAATGCACTTTTCACAAGGCGGACGCACGAGCAGATATGTTGGGAGGAACATATATAGTTAACTAGTTTAGTGATCCAATAACTTTTCTGAAAAATGGTTGGTTGGGTAACAGAATCAATTTAAAAAAAAACAACTATTTTCTTACCGACGTTTCGAATTTAATTAAATTCTTCTTCAGGGCTCGAAAAGTAGTTTTTTCGTGTTGATAATACCTATTACTATTTTAGAAACCATAAGACATATTGAATATATATTTCAAAAAAAATAAAAAACATTGCAACCACCAAATTTCCGAGACAACAACAACA